TTCAATAAGTATTGGGAAATGGATTTGTGTTATAACTTATAAGTGTTAAGGATAAGTGTTGAGTGAATCTAATAATAATTAATATTATTTTTAGACTTGAATTGACGACAAAATTAAGACAAATCCAGTTTTTATGCAATGACTTAAACACTTAATTATATAAGAGTTGCTTAATGTGCACATTGTATACACAGTATAAGTAAAGTATAATGTACTATAAATAATGATAAATATTAATTTAAAATCTATTAAATTATTACAAATTTACTAGTAATAATTTCTTATTAAAATAAACACAAAATTCATAAATATATTTCACGAATTTTAGGTTTCATTGCCATATACTGCACACAAATAGTACTTTACTGTATTTTAACAGTGAATTATATTTTATAACATAAACACATTGATATTTTATTTAATATTTGTCGATTAAATTAACGCAAAACAATTAATATCATGGTTACAAATATGTAATTATTTTTATGTTACATATGATACGAATAAATATTATTTAATATATTAAATATGTAATAAAATGATTGCCAAAATGCAAATACAAATCATATAATCACATGATTTTTCACACATAAATCCTTAACACTTATAAGTTATAACACAAATCCATTTCCCAATACTTATTGAATAAGTAAAACAAAACTTTAAGTAAAACATTTATGATAAGTTTATTTCACTGCTAAATACATATATATTTATGCAATTAATATACTGATACAAACATACAGTATTTAGGTGACAGAAAACACCTGTGCCCAACCATTTACCAACACCATATATGTAGACATAATATTAAATAAAATAATAATAATAATATTTATATAAACACATATTTAACGGTAAATATTAGACTAAAATAGTAGACATTATTCAAAGCAAACTTACTTTCAAATTGATTGGCAACACATAGTATGCGCACAATTAATACACACATAAATATTTATAAATAAATACGATTAAAAATCATATCAAAAAAGTAAATAATTAAAACAATTTCATACATGGTAGACGAGGTGAAAAATAATGGCATGGATCACAACAGACACATCAGACTTAATGCCACATGGCAATAAAAATTTATATCAAAAAATCAGATGGACGTGGACACTGACTTTATATTTGTATATAATCTACCTGTGTATACACATAACAAAACTACAATTATGGTATACAATAGGGTATATAATAGCAATAATCAAGCGATATAATAGTCCCGGAGCTGGAGAGCACTGGTATGTCAGGAACTACTATCATATATACTATTATTATGATAGATCTTACATCATGATAGGTTAGGGTAAGGCTTAAATAATAAACATTGGAGTTGGAGTCACTTACCAGTCAAACCTCTTCATAGCCGTCAGTGAATTGTTGTTAATATTATTATTATTATTACTTAACTTTTTATTCCGGTTTTTGCAATAGCAATACGTGGAGACAATAGCGACACATAGGATAATAATGGGCACAACAGTAGCCGTTATGATCACAACAGTCCTCTTATGGCCACTCTCTTCCTCTTCGGACTTATTATCGCTATTTTGTGGCTTTATTTCAAACGATTCGCATTGAGTTAATAAGTTGTTGCCAGTCGTCGAGGGGTTGATGATATGAGAGCTGTCAGCACCGGCACCACCACCAGCACCAACACCAGCCCTACCACTACTACTATAACTGCCAGCGCTATCGCAACCATACCAACCAATTATATGTCTAAACTCCACAGTTGTTTGCGATACTAGACTCAGTCTACACTCGTTTTGCGTAACATCTGTACATATATTGCCGTCATTTTTACCGACACTTTCCCCGCATTTCGCGGAAACTGCACCGCAATCCCGGTCTGCACTCAAGTATAGGCACAGGTGATCGACGCCGGTGTCCGGACGGTCACTAAACGCTATCACAATTTGTCCGCTTGTGGACCGACTGTAGGTTTTATTATAGTCTTTGATTAATGCGCTCAATGCGTTCAATGTCTGACAATTTTTGGCCAAAATTTTCGGGGGACGTGTTTCAGCACTTTCGACAAATTTATACTTTTTAGTATCGATCCGTTGGAGACGATCGAGTATACTATTGCTCCGGTGTTTTGTCACGCGTCGGGCTATAGGGGCAGCGGTGGTGGTGAGGGATGCCCTGGTGGTGGAGGTGGTGGTGTAGATACTGGTGCTGGCGGTACGGTAGGGCTGTTGGGCTGTTTGCATAGCGTTTGGTGTCATCTCCACGCCAACAATCGTCGGCCCGTTGTTTACATTATTATTCATCGCATTGTTTTCGCTGTTATTTACGATATTATAATTTTTATGACTACTATTTCTAATCACATATGCAATTGAATTGTTGTTTGAATTGACAGCTACGCTGCTATCAGGAGCGCCTCCGGGGGCGTCAATGGTGGTGTCAACACTACGTGATGTCACCTTGGTCGTAGCTTTTTCTGGCGCGATATCGATTTCAACTACCGGTGCCAACACTGTTGGCAACACCGGTGGAGACGGCGTTTGTGTTTGTTGTGCTAACACTGATATACTTTCACTTTTTATTGAATTCATTGGCGCCGGAAGTTTGGGTGCATTTCGTGTACCGGTTTTGTATGGCTGGAGTAGGAGTGGGGGTGCGGAGGGCCTGACACCCAATGGTTTAGCGGTACCACTGGTATTACTTTGTAGATTAATCTCGTCTGTATTTATCAGCGAAACATTGTTTACAAAACGCTGATTATTGGCAACACTTGGTGTTTGTCTAACAATAATTGCGGTGTCAATGACCGCGTCGTCGGCCACAGGGATGGCACTCCGGGTACGCACTCCCGGATCGGTGGCAGTGATGCTCCCATTCATTATCATTGCGGGCATTGATATGTTTGTCTCGTTACCGGTGGTGATGAGCACCTGTTGCCGATCATCATCACTACCGCTACCATCACCGCTGAATTGGTTTACTTCCACATCAAAAGACATATCATTAGTACTACTAATTGTGATATTGTTATTGTGTTCAACGCCCGGCCCCTTATCGGCCAGTTGTGTGTTAACAACGTTATACTTGTCATTATAATCGACAGCATTATAATTGTTGTGACTATTAAATAGCAGTTTGCGTTCAAACTCGTTGTTATGCTCGATGTTAACAGTGATCTCTCTTTCAATTTTGTCCAAATTGTCGGCTATTTTCTCGTTGATAGTGTTGGTGGACATGTCGGCCGTGTAGTCCATAGCCTCCGACCCGTTCACGTCTGTCTGATTGCCCGTAAACCATACGATCCGCTCCTTATGCCCCCGACGTGAGGGTATTATATGGATTATTCAATCAATGTTAAACTATTTATAACTGTATATAATTATCATTTATCAACTAGATTAACATAAATGTTAAGGTAATTATTTATGAATAGCCTGAAGGTCAATAAATCTCTGAATTAAAAATTTAATACATATTTATGTAGATCTAAGTGCAGAATATTCTGGTATTTAACAATATTATTAAATGTCCCTAGATTATATAAATTTAACCAGCTATATAAAACCTGACAACTTATGTCATACTTGATTATTTAAGCTAAATTTATTATTGTGGAATATTCAATGATTTTTGCACATGATCAAACAGAATATTTTGATACTATTACTTGTGCTAAAAATTGCTTTATTAATTCCTACCCAACGCCTAATCTCTACCCACAATAAATATTATATACGATATACTATAATCTATTGATAATAGGATTTAATTAATGGGATTTTGTAGTAAATATTGTAAACACTTTCATTTTCATGTTATCAAATGGCATAAAATTAGATCAAAACTCCTTATAATTAATTAAAACAAGAATCTATTGTATAGTTTTGCAATCAAATGGTTATTATATATAAAATGTGTTAAATTATAAATTATAATAAAAATTGATAAGAAATATATTGAGAGTAAATCAAATCTAAAAATGCTATTTTATCTCAAATTTTTATAGACATAATTCATAGTTAAGTATAATATAATCGCACTTAAAATGGATGATATGAATTAAAATCTATATTATTTATTAAATTAACTCTTTTTTATCAGGCTATAAGTCATGTTAAACTACATTGTTTTGTGCCCAAAGTATTATATATGTCGATTAAATTAAGCAAGCAAATTTTACAAATAATTTACACTCACTTTAATGCAGTTAACGGAAGCCAACGATATTATAATTATGTACAACAATAACAATATTTTATTTGTAATATAAGACATTACTTTTCATACGATATATTTTTACATATAATACATGTGTAAATGAAATACAATTTCAACGAAAACATAAGTTTTATATTCATTTAACAATTAAAATAACTTAATTAAACGTAATTTCACTATAAATACAATACATGATTAGTGTATCCCATAATTCGTACACAATATGCCAGAAATTCAATCGAATTTTATAATAATTCACAACACTTTTGGCCAAACATTTTGTGTATAACTTACAAAAACCACATTCAAAACACGACACGAAAAAACACAAAATCCGTATTTGAAATCATTATTTCTAAACTGTTATCAAAAATATTTGTCGAAAAAATGTTATTAATTTATTATTTAGAAAAAACATTGTAATAATAATAGTAAAAAAATTAATAATAATAATAATAATTTAGTAGTTAAGCAATCATGATTGAAATGTCGAAACCATATTAATTTGTGAGCTTTTATCAGTCCTATGATACCAGATATCGTCTCGTATTTTACAATATTCACACTTTTTATATGGGGTAGAGATATATTATATATAACTTATATTTATGCTGTATATTATACACCGTAAATACACATACTATATATTATATGACACCCGTATTATGTCATGTAATCATAAAATATGGTAAACTTTGTCTTCACCTTCACATAAGTATTGATAAAATATAGCAAAATTTATTTTAAATAAGTTTTTAATTAATTGACTATTTTTTAATGTATGACTTTATAAGCACTTAATTTCATACTAATTAAACCGTTTATTCAAATACTTATATATAGTTTTATCAATCAATTAGTTATTGAAATCCAATTATTATTTCCCGATAATTATTAATGGATTGCAAGCAAAATATTATACATATTGTTATAAAATCAGATTTTGTATTGTTTTTATTACTAGAAAAACATTTATTTCTCACATATATTTTCAATGCTATTCACGAGTTATGAGTTTTCATTTATTATTGTAAGGAAGTGTTTGGGTTGGAGAGAGAGAGAGAGAGAGAGAGAGAGAGAG